TAACTTTGACATTTCTTATTTCGTTTACTGTCTAGTATATTAGATAGTATATTAATTCAATAAATATATATTAACATATTTTGTATGAACAAAGTAATATAAAATATACCTAATTATCATCATCATTAGTATTGACTAACTCTTCTTCACATATGCTAGCCAACTCTCTTTCAAAGATATTTTTTTCATAGATATTAACTAACTCTTCTCCTAGTTGGTTCTCATAGTCATAGCTCATCTCATTCTTCACTTTTTTGGTCTTTTTTTTGTCATTTCTTTCGATATTTCTAAACTGTTTTAGTTGGATACTTTCTTTAGAAATTTTATGTAAAATTTTATCAATTGCATTATCATGCGTTTTTATATAATTCTGTAAAGAAACACAATAGCAGAATTCTCCTTCACAATGTTTACATCGAAAAATCATTTTTATAAGTTTTTAAAATTATTTATTATTTCATAAATGAAAAATGTCAGTATACTCAAGTTCATCTTTATATTAACATTTAACAATACAATTATAAAGTAATATACTTGTAATTATATTAATTTATTTTAAGTCTGATCTCACTTGAATGCTGATTTTACTTCAATCATTGATTGATTTGATTGATTTTTAGTCTAATTTTAGTCTAATTATCAAATGGAAATATATTGTTACAGTTAGTTCTTTAAGATGCTTATGAGTGATAAGCAAAGCAATATTTATAGGTGATAAGCAGAAGGTTTAATTTAATATTTAGATTTAAAAAAAGTGTCAGTAAATTAACAATTTATTTAATGACCATAATAATGGAATACTACCTCAGTCAGCGCTCTATACTATACAATTATATTAGAGGGATTAAACTAAACTATTATATAAAACTATGAGATAGATACACTGCTAAGCTAAAAGAAATTGTCTTCTATTTATATAAAATGAAAAATATAAAATTACCAAAGATATAAAAGAAATAAATATAATAAATAAAATATATAAAATAAATAAAATTTTATAAATATATGAGATAAATAAAATAAAATAAATAAAAGAAATATATTGTATAAAAGAAATATATGTTATAGATGACATAGATGATATAGAAGACATATGATTTCTTTGGGATCGATGTTATTCTTTAGTTCATCATCATCCATGTCTTCTTTCATATAACAATATGATGCCAAGATCAATTAATTGAATCAAATAATTCCTCTGTCAAATGGAAATGCAGCATAATTATCATATTAATTTAGTCATCATTTGAATATTCAAACTTAGGTGAGTTATTATAATATTTTAATAAAATACACTAATGATATTATAACATTTAATAATTTTAATGATATAAAAAGAATTGAGAAATATTAATATTCTTTATTTTTATTGTTGTTCATTGTTAAATTCACACAAGAAAAAATATATGTTTATTATAGTTGCAAGAGATATAAGAAAAAAAAAGATAAATTTAATTTGAATTTCAATGCTTTGAAGTATTCAAGAATAATATCAGTGAATGCAAAAGAAAGGTAATTAACTATTATTTTAATTTTATCATGTATCGTTTATAAATCATAATAATTATTTAAGTTTACTTATATAATAATAATATTATTCTTTAGATTACTGAACAAATTAGTATAAAAATTCTTATATTATTTAAATTTAATTAAATGCTTAAAAAATACATCATTATTAATAGATATTGACACAATCACAACATCAAAAAAAGATAAAAATTAAGAGGTTAAATTTTTTTAGTAATAAAGATAATGATATTGTTACTCAAGTAATATTTATTGCATTTTATATTATTTATTATTATTATTTTATTCCTTTATTAAATATATTTATGTTTTAATGTTAGGTAACAAGCAAATCATCAACAATACTTTTATCATTTCCTATTATTCCTTCAGTAGTAATAACTCTTCTTTCTTTTGTTATTAAAATGACAACATATAAAGATATATTATCTGATAAAACAGTATCTAAAGCTGTGATAATATCTAAGGTAATGGCATCTAAAGTGACAGTATCAATAGCAATAGCATTCAAAGTGATAGCATCATCAATGGCAATGGCATCTAAAGTGATAGTATCATTAACGGCAATAGCATCTAAAATAATAACGGCATTCAAAGTGATGGCTGATCAAAGTTAGACAAAATCTATACTAATATTTATTGCTGTTTATAAATAATTTAATGTCAATAATAATTTACTAGCAGCTAATAATTCGTGTGAATTGACTAAATTAATTAAAATTAGTCAAAGTAACTCATCAAAACTTAATTCAATGATGGAACATTAAGAAAGACTAGAAGCTATAATGAATGAACAAAGGATCAGATTGCGAAAATAATGTCAATATTGGAAAATCTAGATACTTTGACTAAAGTTAAAGTAAAAGACGATAAAGGTAAAGGAAAAATAAAGGGATAAAATCAGAAGAATTTTATCAAGTAAATATAATTTATATTATTTCTTTATATTATTTTGTTACTATATAATTACTTATATTATAGAATGCAATCAAAAAACTTATTCATGAACTATTTCATGAGCACCAACAAGTAAATGATATATAAATGAAATATGTCTCAAAGATAAGTTAGAAAATAACAAAGATTCTGCCAAATAACTTCAGATGTTGCATCATAGAGGTATTTCGTTTGATTAATTATGAAATGAAAAATTATGTTCAAGTGTAAGTAGTATTTATTTTATATAATATAATCTTATCAGTTGATAACTTTATTAATTTATTTAACATTTTTAACATATTAGCTTCTTAATGCAAATTGTATAAAGAAAGGGTATTTTGTAAAAAGATTAAAAGAGCCTATAAAGTACTTTTAAAATTAACAGAATAAAGCCCTATGAAGATGGTTTTAGCAAGAATGTGGAAAGGGAGTAAAAGTATTAGAAAAGT